GCCCTCGGTCCCGCCCCCGGCCACCGGCAGGCGGAAGCAGCCGAGCGGATGGTGACGGCGCAGAGTGCCACTTTAAACGTCGTCCTTTGTTCTGCGATGTGCGGCATAAATTTGTCGTCGTCGTGGAAGGCAAAAACCGCGATGGCAAGTTTGTGTCTCGCGTCGTCATAGTCCCTCTAAGCTGCTCAGCCAACCGGAAACGGATGCCAGATAACACGACCACATGACCTATCAGCGCATTGCAGCATGTGCGGTCACTGTGGAAACAAAAATAAAATAAAGAAATGTTACTACCTCGATTGATCCCGAACCGACAATTTGTACGTTTAACATACAAGGGTGCCCCCCCCCCCTTTTTGGTTATACTCACCGCATGCAGGCGTGCGGGCCGGTCTTGCCGACCGACTTTCACCACGGCGTCTATACGAGGATGCAACCCTCTTGCACGCCTGCATGCGGTGTAGAATAAAGCAGTGCCGAGAGAACAACGTAGCAGAACACAACGAATTTTTGGTGCTGTAGGTCCTAACCAGCTGCACAACAGAGGACCCACTCAGAGCGGGCACAAACACAGCCACAAACAGGGACACGTAATAACAGTAAATAGTCGCCCAGACAACGTGGGGGTTGCATCTGCAACGTGATAATTGTTTACTTTTCACCCTCCCTGCCGGGTTTGTATAGTTTACACGTGTTGGCCTGGCCACATCGCAGGCATCGTGTCGTGGGAGAGGCCTTCTTTCCATGCGGCGTGCAAGAGTTTGTCTATTTCGGAGAAGGGCGCGACCGCGCGCCTGTGTCCCGTACCCCGTACCTGCGCTCAGCGGGACGCCCATCTGGAACAGCTAAAGCCATGCACAGCGCGGTGCACTCCGTCCTTGTGGTCGCCCTCCACCGAAGCTGGGGGAGGGGGGGGGGCGCAGCAGGTTGACATCTGGACTGCTGTTCGCTCACCAGGCCCCCGCCACGCCCCGCCACGCCCCACCGGGTCCAGTCAGATGGCCGTAAATTAGATAACTCCTGCCAACCCCCCCGTCATGGCGTCGAGCCGTAGCGTAGACAGACCCCGCCGCCATGGAGTCTACTTGTGTCTCTACACCGCCGCCTCCTGCCCTCCCCTCCCCCCACCCCTGCCACTTTCGTCTCAAAGTAGGATATATACCAGGAAAAGAGTCAATCCGGCGGCGAAAAAATAAAATCCTCCAACCGCCGCCCTGGTCGCCTGGAATCGGAGCGGGTTCCTAATGGGCAGGGGGCTGGTGGAGGAACCCGCGACAAGGGAAGAGCGAGAGAGCGAGAGAGAGAGGGGGGGGGGAGAAGTAGGGGAAGGAGGCGGGTGCAGTGCACTAGGACTGTAGTGGAATAGTATACGGTCCCCGTCCCCCCACCCGCCCTCCGGCCCCCACTCTGAAGCCGCCCCTTTCCTCAACCCCTGCTCGCTCTCCTCCCCGTCCCGGCCTTACGCCCCTATATCGACCCACTCGCCGGGTGGCAGTACGGAGTACGCGCAATGCCCCGTCTCTCTCGGTTGCTCTCTGCCCCCTCCCTCCCCCCCCCCTTTCTCTCTCTCTCTCTCTCTCTCTCTCTTTCTCCGTCTCGATATCTCTCTTCGTCCCTCTTTTCGCCTCTCACTCCACCCTTCATTCTGCTCCCGCCCGTCTCCCAGCGGGGCACCCCTCTCACTCGCAACTCCCGCGCTAGTTGTGCAGATTCACTGCGCCTTCATCTCTCTTGCTTTTCTCTCTCTCTCTCTCTCTCTCTCTCTCTCTCTCTCTCTCTCTCTCTCT